ATCAAGCGCCTAAAAGTATGTTAGTATAATTAATATACGCTGAACTTTTGGGACAGCATCATTATTAGGTATACAGATACATATGTATATACTTTCTGAATTGAGGTATCTTACACATAAAATGTTTAATTTTTGGCAGTTTTTAATCACTTTTGCGCCCAAAAGTATGCAACAAACTATTATAAATAAAAAAAATTTAAAGAAAACGTATTTTACTCTTTTGAATAAGAGATTGTGTGAAACATTTTTTTTGGAAAAAGTACCAACTAGCGCTTTGCAAACTTTGTGCGCCCAAAAGTATACAACTATCATTAAAAAGTAAAATTTTTATTCATTCTAGCTCATAATTCAAACAAATAGCAGTAAGCTAATAAGTTTTAATATGCGGCCCATCATATTTCGCTGTAATTTATTGCCTTTGCGCCTGAAAGTATGCTAGCGAAATGATGTTTACTATCTAAATCATAAATAATATTATTATTTCTATTAATATTATTTTTTAGTTCTCGAGCCCTCGAACCTTCGTGTGCCTCATAAAATGCTACTACATATTACTTTTTCAAATTGAAATTAATCTTTCTATAGCATATTTAACAGACATTTGCTAATGTCCTTTAAAAAAGTTTAAATTTAAAAGCTCCCCTTAACATTTTGACCCAACCCTCAGTGTTTTTGAACAAAAGAAAATTATAATAATAAGCTTGTTCGTGGTAAATGTGGCATAGATTGGTGCTTTTCTTTCTCCCACTCCGCTCTTTATTTATTTTTCCTTTTTCGCTTTTGTTAATGGACAACAAATTATCATTTCGCCCCAGTTGATGAGTAGAAATGTATGTCAATATATGTATGTATATGTAACTCTGGCTTGCGCCTTGAATTGTATTTCCTTTCGTGTAACCGCAACGCTCTGCCGCCGCCACCAGCATTCCTACCACCCAGCTGTGCCGGTTTTCGCAGAGTGCGGAAAATCACTTCAAAACTCAATGGCGTTGACGGCCAAGGCAACCAACGACCATCACTACCGAAGGTAACTGCGTATAGCTGCTTGGTTGCCTGGGTGCTTCGCAGTTATTCATAAACATAATGAGCAGACGCCCTTTTGTATGCTGCGTATTGTGCTTAGAAATATGTTTGTATGTGTGTGTGTGTTTTGTGCGTCTATAAGTAGGCTAAACTAACTTGGCAATACATATCTACATTTATACTTCAAATACAAAGCAGCAGGCAGAGGATTCCTTTCAAAAGCCCAACAGCCGTATAAATTCTCCTCGTTAGTCAACTGTATGGCTGATGCTTAGGTCTTCGGTTCCGTTGTTGTGGAATTTTCGATTTATTTTACTTGTACTATTTGCAGTTGTCTGCGTGCACATGTACCTATGTATGTGTGTTACAGTAGCGACTTCATATGAATGCAAACATATATAAATATATGTAATAACTGCTTTAGAAATTATATTAAATCAAATACTCTACATTGTGGGAATGAGACGAGCTTTATTCCCTTTGCATGTGTGTGTGTGTGTTTTGTTTAAGTATTTGTTCGTGGCATTGTTTCACAGCGCATACTTAAAAGCAACCTGTTGTTTTGTGACAGAGAAAAGTTGTCTGGCATCTTGTGGGGCATCTATGAACATAAGTACATATACATATTTGTATACTAATTTATTCGAAGAGAAGACATGAATGGAGAAGAATACGCAATGCTGAGTTTAAGACGCCAACATTTTTCCATAAAATTGTGTATTTAAGAAGTCAGTTGTTCAATAAAAATAATTGACAAGAAACATTTAGGAATTCTATTCAAAAATTAATAGCATAGATTTGGGCAAACAAAAAGCATACTTTTAGGGTTTTAGGTACAATTTAAGGCGTCAGAGAGCAGTAATCAATTAATGGCATACTTTCAGGTGCTGAAGCTCCGTACTCTAACCTAATATTTTAAATATTGTTTTGTGGTTTAGTTACAAATTTGTTCATCTTGAAGTTTAAAGCATAATTTTGGGCGGAATTTTTAATTATTTTTTTTTTACTTGCGAGAGAAATTTATCTTACATTTACACTCTTCTGCCTATTTATTTCATTGTACATAAGTGCGTAGTAGATGTTCAAATATTTTCGGAAAGTGTTCAAATATTAATAGCATACTTTTAGGCGTTTAGTGTATTCTCTAATACATTCACCATAAAAATTAAAATCCATAGTACGCACACGTTGGACCACTTAACTCTCCACAATGGATGCTCATGTTCGAAAATTGCTGCAAAGTGACTCGAAAATGTATAGCATACTTTTAGACGCTTGGTATATTTTTTCTAAATCCCGCAATATTTTCAACAAATCGTAGCGAGCAAACGCTTTGTGGCATACATTTTGAAAACCTGTAACTTTTTTCTATATTTATAGCATACATTTAGGCGTTCACATAAAGTTTTTTGTTGCTAAAGACACGGGAACACAAATTAAACGCTTCTGTATTTCCAAAAGCTAAAGTAGGCCTTTTTTTAGGTTCTAAAAAATTGTAGAATATATTCAGTATTTTTGCATAAGGTTTTACTTCTAACGTAGTTAACCTGAAATTTCTTTTATGCTAGTTTTTGCATATATCATTAAAATAAACCGTACACATTGATCATAAAATATATTAAAAGCAATAATGTTTTTCATCTCCCAAAGCCTGCATTTACAGGGCAATTCTGGCTAAGACAGTAAATAGTCTTTCGTAAGACAAAAGTCTTAGAAAAAAAGCTCTCTCATTCACCACTGGTGGTGAAAAGCCGTTTTGAGAAAAAGCACTTAGCTCGCGTCGTTCAAACGGTCGCAATGGCCGATAGGCGTGCCGTTCGTAAAATTACGAGTTCGAGTCTCGGGCGGCGGAATTTTTTTTATTTTTTCTTAATCAATTTTTTTTTTAATTAATTCAGAAAAAAAATATTTTACTTTAATTTTATTTAATTTTTAAAACCATTTATTTATTTATTTTTGCCTTACGGTTTTTAGTTATTTATTTTAATTTCTTTTACTTAAAACCTTTGATTGTTTTAAAAAGAGAAAAACATAAAGAACATACACATAACATAATTTAATTTAATTAAAAAAAACCTTAAAAGGCGAACAGCATAACACTAAGACCTCCTCGTTAGCAGATCTTCCAATTAGTCTTTCGAAAAACAGTAAAGAGCTTTTAAGATAGCTGCCAGAATAGACAACTGGGTAAGGTGAAAGATAGTTTCCATAGTTGCCCCGTTAGGCGCATTACTTTTTCTTGTCTGTATTGTGCGAAATTTCAAATGTCGCTCAATATTTCCATTTCTCCTGATAAAAATAGTTATTCTTAAATAAAACTGTGACTGTTTCTAAACCTTTTGAATTTTTTTTATCAAAAAAAATTTTCTTCGATGAAACAAAATTCGAAACTTTAATATATCGAGCCATGGCTGCCAAAACGTTGTAATTGACATTTTTTGTTTCAAAATTGTACTTATTTCTGATGCAGAAATACATCTTGATGCTCTAGCAACATTTCTGCATCAAACATAAAATTTTGAAAAAAAATTCGCTCACACCTTTTTGGCGATTAGGGCTCTATATGATATTCATGTTCTTTACCTACTCTACATTTTTGGCATTGCTTATGGTTTAAATTTTCTTTCAAAGCTTATCACAGCTTTATTGAGCGAAAACTATAAAATTCCACAACTTTTTTTAAAATAAGTATTTGGCAAAAATTTTAAACTAGCAAAAATTTTTCGAAATCAGAAATCTTTAATTTTTTTATCATACTTTTAAATTTCACAAATTTTTTACACTTTTTAGCCGGTAATCTCTTAGATAAAATAAGATTTTTGAAAAGAGCTATGCACTGCGGCCTCTGGATCTATCGTGCACTCCATTCAACACGACACACATTTTATTCCTGTAACTTTCAGAAAGTCTTAAATAGCTTTTCGTGATCGGGAGTGTAGGTGCTCTTCCTTCAGCCACACCAATCCTACACTATTCATTCGGGAATTGTTTTCCATGAGAAAAAGTTTATTTTAAAATTTCACACTCAAAAATTTTGTATAATTAAAGAAAAAAATATTTTTAGATAAAATATGCATATTTATACATCTTAAAATTTATGAAAAATATTTAATTTTATACAAAATATTTAAGTGGTTTTATTAAGAACAATTCTCTTACTTAATTTTTTTAAATTTAAATTAAAACCATAAATTTATAAACAAAGTTGAATAAGCTGAAAACTAAAAACAAAACGCAACGCAATTTTTTTTAATTTAAAAAAGAAATTTTTCGATGAAAACTGAGAAAATTTCTGGAACTAAAAAAAAATTACTTTTAAAAATGTTATCAATATTACAACAGTACATATTTTAAAATTTCTCTTAATTTAAAATTAGTTTTTATTAAAATTAAAACCATAATTTCAGAAACAAATTTTAAGTAGCTTGAAACTAAAAATTTCCAGCTATGCCAATTTGCATGGCAGCAATACACGTTTTTTTTTCAAAAACAATATTTTCTGGTGAAAATCATCTTCTTATGCACCCTCTTAAATATGTAGTCTGCTACTAGGCGCTTAGGCATAAAGTAAGACAAAGGCTACGTCAGTATTTATATCTTAGAAAATTATAAATGACTAAAAATTACATTACGTTATATATAAGTATATTAAGAATACTATAAGCAATATTAAGAAACTTTACTTTTGCAATAAAAATGCTTTTTCAATTTTTAGAAAATTTTATGTACCCTCGCATGTGATTTTATAATACCTTACTATTTTTGCGATCCCCTGTACAGCCCCAATTCACCCACTTAGCCCAAAAAAACTAGCCACTTAAATGTATTTTTTGGTGTCCCGATTCCCTTATAAATACTCTCCTCTTTTATGTCATACATACATATGTATTAGTAAAAAAAAAATATATATATAAAAAAGCTACCTAAAAAATTTTCACCCGAAAATTGGTTTTCCATTTTTCTTTTCTTTTTTCCAGTTTCTCTGTGTGTAGTAGCCAACAACCCAAAGCAAACCAAATTTAATCAAACACAAATAAAAAAACAAATCCGCTAAAATAAACAAACTAACCACATATCCGAAAAAATCCAAACAAAAAATCTATACCAAACCCCTAACTGTATTTTTGTTTATGTGTGTGTTGTATGTGAACAAAAACTTGGTATAAGAAAGTACAAAAAAAAACACAAAACAAACCAAAACACAGATACCCAGCATTTGTGTTAAGCCTTTGCCCAACTGCAGCATTCTTTATCAGCTCTAAACAACAACGACAACAAACGGCGCCACCACAGCCTTCGAAAACGGTTAACTTGAAAAGCCACACAGTCGGCCTTCTACTATTTGGCACTGCTAGGCGCGCTTTTCATTTTCCTTTGCTTTCTTTTTAACCGCTTGTCGTTTGTAAATTAAACAAAAAAAAGTATTATAACCACTAAAATTAGTCCGCGTTGCCAACCAACGTTGCTGACGCTGTCGCCATCATCGTCCGCATCGCCGTCGTCACCGCTGTCACCACAACTATGCGCCATGTCAAAACTGCGGCATTACAGGTCCATAGATCAGCCGTGCGCTGCGACCAACATACGCAAAAAGTTAGTTAGACAATTTGTTTGGAAATTAAATTAATTTTTTCTTATTCCTACAAAATCTTTTATCTCTTTTATGTCTTATAAACTGACAATTTTTCTCTTATTTTTAGTGCATTCGCTATGGCTTGCTATAAAATATTTTTAAGCTTTTGTTTGCAACTCTGCTACAATGGGACTTAAAAAGCTTTTTAAGGCCTTAGTTGCTATTGAAAAGCTTTATTCTTCACTTGCTTGCCTTCTTCTCTATCGATATGACTTGTCTACCTTAATGTGCTTTCCCGCATCTGATTGTAGCTACTTTGCCATAAAATAGTGATGACCACTCCAATCATTTAAACTACATACATACATACATGGTCAAAGACATTAATTTATTTAAATAATATTTGGTTTATAAATTTTTAAATAAAATAACTTTTCGTAGTTATTTATCCAACAAAAAATTATTCTAATAAAACTTACGAATTTATTATAAAAACTATTATATACATACATGCAGTGACTCAAACAAGTGACCACGTGTTGATTGTTTCTTTGTTACTTTTCTATAAAAATATTCATATTTATTTATTTGGAATAAAAAGCAAAAATCCTGCAATAGAAAAACTTAGGCAAACTTGCTCTTCATTAAACTAAAATTGCGTGGGATATTAATCTGCTAACCCAAAAAAATATTGTAAAGATTCTGATTAAAAAGTTTGAAATTTTGGTGAAAATTTTTTGAATTTTCCAAAATTGTGTATTAAGTTTTATGCTTTGATTTCTATGGTTTTGTACAATAGTTTTGTAGAAAAATAACAAATAAATTTAACTTGAAAACAATTGTGAATATTGAAATAAAATCAACACATGGTAACTTGTTTGAGTCACTGTTTATCGCTATAATTCTGCTGCAGTTAGCTTTCTTGGCATCTGGTTAACAGCACAATTATCAAGGGTTTTAAGTTTAGGTTTAAGAATCAAAAGCTTGGCGAGACTTATCAAAGACACGCTGTTACAATAATTATTTCATAAAATCCTCTGTGGTAGAGTTGCTATAATTTTTTCGGCATGGATTTCGAGATTTAGAACTTAGCTAAATTTTGTATCATGCGCACTTCATATAGAGTGTGATTGCGTTTCATATTGGACCAAACTACGGAGGCAAAATTAAGAAAACAGGAGCTTTTTCTTGCTTTGTTTTTTGATTCACCTGTATGTGTGTGCAGGACTTCAAAAAACCAACGCTAATTTTTAGCCATTTGAAACTCACAATTTATTATACTAAAATTATCGAAATTTTTATGAATATTTGCAAATTTTTTTTTTTAATATTACACAAAGTTTGAAATTTGGATTTACACGGTTTTTGGATAAGTGAGTTATGAAAAATTATTTTAAAAAAATCTTTCAAATTTTTTATTTAAAAAAAATTTTAAATTGTAAAGCAAATTTAAAAATATACAGTAAGCGTCAAAAATAAGTATACCCTTAAGTTTTGATGATTTCATTTATTAATTTTTTCATAGCAATTTTCTTTTATTGCTTTATCAAATATATTTACTCAATAGCAAAAACTAAAATAATCAATTTTTTAATTTCATTCATAACCCGGAGAAATGCAAAAAAAGTTATTGAAATTTTTTTCAATTTCTCAATTCGATTTCTTCGAAAACTATGTTTTTTTTTAACTTTTAACCTTCTAAAAATTTTATTTTCGCTCAGTAAGTAAAATATAAAATACTTTTTTAAACTAAACAAATTTTCTGAAAATTTTTGCTACGGCAAAGAAATATTCAGAAACTTATTAAAAATTTATTAATGGGTCGTTTTCGTAAAGGAGCAGATACGAAAATGAAATGTGACATGAAAATTATAAAAATAACAATTAAAATTTAAAAAAATATATTTATGAGACACCAAAAAATTAAAAAGTCAAGTCACATTAAAAAAATATGTATATTAACAGGGATACGTTTTTTACGGAAAATTGTAAAGAAAGTAAAATTAAAAAAAAAAAATTAAATAAAAATGGGAAAAAAATTGGCCAAAAAAATTAAAAAGAAACATTTATCTCACGGCTATCGTTAACTAAAATTTTGGAGAAAAAATGGGAGGGTAAAATTCATCAGGCAAATTACATTTAACTAAAGAAAAAACACATATTTCAAAATTTCAGTTTTTATAAAAAAATTAAATAATATGTAAATATATTAAAATTATTTCGGAGCTTGTAGTTAAGAAACTTAAGCAAAATTTCGTAAAAAAAAAATTTATCAATACAAAAAAAGACTTCTGCACATAATTCCGGAACGCTTTACATAAAATTTTCCGAATAACAGTCTAATACAAAAATATTAAAGTTATTGTAAGCGGTGTCAAAAAAAATTGAATAATGTAAATAAAAATATAAAAATTTCTATACCTATTTCTTTATGTCTTTATATGTTTTGAAATTGTTTTTTTTTTTAATTTTTTATATGTAATAACCCCAGATTTGTCGCACAGTGTATTAGCTATCACTTCCTATGGCTTTGCATGCATCGCACTTTTTTAAATACTTTCTTATTCTCTGTCTAAGATTATTTTTTATATTTGAGTGAAATTGAATTTTACTATTTTTCACTCACACTCACTCATCACATTCATTTCATATTGCTCGTCTGCGTTTCTTTTTTTCTTTCTCGTTGTAGGACTATGACAGCGATTTGTTTTGTATGCAATTTGCCGATTTTGTCACATCAGGTGGGCTTAGTGTGGCAGGGTGGCAATGGCTGGGACGATTTGGTCAGAGAGCAGGTAAGTAAGAAACACACACATAACACTTTTTTCAATAAAAATACGCACACTCGTACTCATACTTATATTTATACTCATACGCATACTCATACTCATTCTCCTACCGATACTTTTACTCATACCAATACCCTGCCTTTCGCTTCTTTCCCCTTCTCTCTCTCTCTCGTTTTCAGCTGGAGGAGTCGACGATACGCCAACGCTTAGGTGGTCGCCGCGATTCGGCTGCACAGATAACCACACCCCCTAGTACATCACCGCCACCAGGTAAATATGCGGTAAACCTCGGTTCACTTCTTATCCACTTACGCTCTCTTCTTTGGTTTATCTCATCCAATTCGCAGGCCTCCAACGCCGTCGTCGCAGCTCACTCGCACAACTCACCGACATCCTGCGCGAATGGAGCGGCGGTGGCGCTGCCAAGCAGCAAACCCAAAGCCAACGTCAAAAGGCGCAACTCAATCGGCGCGAAACCCTAGCTGACCTTGCGCGCAGCTTGCCATGGCGCACCTCTACCACCGACGCTTCGACCGGCGCTGGTTCGGGCACCACCTACATTACGCCACGAAAGCGTCGGGAATCAAGCGCCGATTCGGGTATACGTAGCATGCGCTCGCGCCGTGACTCCAATACAGCAGAGTTTGTGAAGCACTGGAATCGTCGTGAGAGCACCGCCGCTGATGAGCCCACCATGGTGGTGCCAGTTGTGGTGGAGGGTGCTGGGCGTAGTGTAAGTAATGCAATACTTTTATTGAAAGCGACTTTTGATAGCTGCTCTGTGATTTCCCGCTTGTTTTCCTTCCTATCCTTTTGTGACTTATTGTAAATATATACATACATATATCACCTGTGCAATCGCCTAATTGCAGAGCTCGCGTCGCGGTTCGGGAGAAAGCTACATCTCGAGCCGTCGCGACAGCAACATTGGCCGTGCTACCACACCACCTCCGCCACCCAAGATCAGCGGCATGGCCGCCAAGAAACGTGATTCATTAGCCGCACCCGATTTCCCCAACTTCCGACAAGAGCAACGTCCTTCCACCAGTTCTGGCGGCTCAGACTCAGTACCGCTAATCTCTGCCCCCGCCTATAATCAGGTTGACTCCGCATGCCAAGCGCTACCACCGCCCACCATCATCACCAGCTCGGTGACACCGCCAGCGACGAGTCCCACCGCACCACTGAAAGGACGACGCGATTCCACGACACAATGCGGCCGCGTGAATCGACGCGATTCCAAGGCAGGAATTTCGCCTGAGCGCGCACCACGCCTACAACGTTTGCAACGTCAGGCTACTGCATTCGATGAGAGCTGCTTGCCAGGCGGCAGTCGACGTGGCTCCCAGCCGGCACTGAGCCCTGATCCGCCGGAGGACTGCGAGCGACGCACGTCGCGCCGTGATTCGCTTAGTCCCGATAGCGCATCACGTGGCGGACGACGTGACTCTCGCGCGCATCTCTCGCCCGACCGCAGTCACGATCGTGATGGCAGTCCACGGCGGCAGACACTGCGTCGGCAGAGCTCGTCGGCTGCACGCAGCTCACGTTCGCCTGACTCGAACAGCTGTTGCTCGTCGCGTGATCCAAGTCCATGTTCACGGCCACCACCGTTGCCATCGGCAGAGCCCAGCTCGCGGCCTGCTATACGTCGACAATCTACAACCGAGGAGATCTTAATAGCACGCGGCTTTCGACGACAATCCACCACTGAGGAGATGATACGTTGCAGGAATTTTCGGCGACAAAGCTCGCAGAGCGACGATGTGTGTCGGTGAGTAGTACGCACATGAAGGCTACATAGATAAAATAGGACAGAGTTTAACATTTTGGTTCATTATTTTCAGTTATCGCGGTCGACGTGACTCGAGCGCACAAATTATTGACGGCACCATCGGCACCATGACAGTAGAAACGACCAGCACATTCTTCGATTCGAGTACACAAACCGGTGAGTACCAGACACAATATTTAGTGCTTTAGGAGTTTAGTAATAGGTGGGTCACAAAGGGTTAGATATAGCAAGAATCTTTTATATAAATTCAACAACAAAATTTGCTATATAAAAACAAGAAGAATTTTACAAGTTTTTGTGCAGCAAAGCCCCGCATCGTGTAGCCATACTTTTTGTTGGACTCTCCTCTAATTTGATGTCCATTTTTTCCTTTTTGTTTAAATAATCATTTAAAATATTTAGGCAATCAAAAGCTCTTCACGATTCCAGTATAATGAGAAAAATTGTATTTTTTTTTCAAGCAAAATAATTTACCAAAATCATAAAAAATGTACCTTTTTACCAACCCAAATTTTGGTAGTAGTTTATCATAGTGGCAACCCTGGCTACCTCCCACATATATTGGGCAAAATCTTCTGAACTTTCCGTCTTGACAGGCTAATATTATTCTGATCAAGATCAAGGACATGGAAAGTTCCCTAATGTCTTATAGAAATTCCCAAACCAGTCCAAAAAAGCCTTAGAGATCGAATAGTTCCAATTAAATACCAAAAAATACAGGAAAAAATGTGTTCTCAATTTCTTTTTAATATGAATAAACTAAACCCCTGAAATATTCTGTTAAGTCCATGAAATCAGCTACATAAGGCAGGAAAATATAGACAAATTCATACCATTATTACAAAAGTTTTTGGTTAAATTTCCGAGAAATGTCCGAGAATTCTCGAAAAATAACGTGAAAAAAACTCAAACAAGTCCTAATAGATCCTAAAAGGATCCCAAGAAAGAGGCTAAAACTTAATAATCGAAAGAAAATTACGCTACCTTTTTTTTCGGGTTCCAAAAATTACAAAACGTTCTTGAAGAAGTTCGGCAAAATCATAGTAAACCCCTAACATGCCGAGAACATTACGAAGTAATTGTTGAAAAAATTTAACTAACACAAATAATATAAAATAAGTTAACATCTCCGAAACAGTCCCAAAAAGGCACGACATTACCAGAAAAAAAATCTCCAAAAAATTCTGGAAAAATTCCATTCTAATTTCTTTTTATATGTAATGAAAAAATAAAAACAAATACAATAAAAACCCAGAAAAACTCAAAAACACTTTGAATAAGCCCAAAAATCTAGAAAATTTTTAATTTTTATTTTATAATTTTTAATGAAAAAAAAAATTTAGAAGGTCAGCGGAGATCAAAAAATAATTGTTGAAAAGTCTAAATAGACCCAAAAAAAAGAGAAATCCAAAAATATGTATCGAAATTTTTTTGTTTTAACTCTTGCGAAGTCCCGAATAACCGATATCTAGAAAAAGTTTTTAATGAAAAAAATTATGTATTGAAAAGTCTAAACGGATCCCGCAGTCTGAGAAAGTAAAAAAAAAAATACATATGGAATTTTTTTTTTCTTAACTCTTATAAAGTGCTGAAGAATCGACAAAATCTAGACAAAGTCCCAAAATGTCGTAACTGATCCCATAATATACGGAACTTGCGCTTAAAATACTCAAAAATATGTAAAAGATAAGGAAAAATCCCCAACTTTGGAAAATTTTTTCAGAAAAAAACAACGAAAACGCGCAATAAATACTGAAAAATCTTAAACAAATACTGAAAAAACAGAGAGTGTTTCAAAACTCAGCGAAAAATATCTGGAAATCTAGGAAAAGTTTGGATAATTTTATAGCTGTTGTTAAAAAATATAAATTTGGCACACTTTTACAATAATTTGCAACACATTAAGTACTTGCAATTGCAACATTGTTGCACAGGCAACAGATAATTGTTTCATTGCTTAACACAAATAACTCAGAATAATTGAACAACAAACGCTGACACCAAGCAATTTGCCGCCATCAACATTTTCACTTCACTCAATACCAGCACAGATAAACAAAAAAAAAAACATTTGCAAGCTTAAAAGCGCACTGAGAATATAATCGCAATTTTTAATCTTTTGCTCACCTACGCTTGCACCTGCTGCATGGCTGAATGCATTGCAAAGTGCCACGCCGCAATTGCTGTTAGTTGATGTGGCAATAAGTAGAATTGCCAGCTTTGTTCCTGCACTCCTGTTCTGCTGCTGACGCTATGCCGGCGTCCTTGCGCCTTGCCATATGCACCCAAGCGTTGCAAGCATTTGGACTCTATAAATACATATCTACTTGAATACGTATATATGTTACAATAAATACTTCAGCAGCAATGAGTGTCAATGTTAATTGCTCTGTTACAAACTGGTAAACTGTTAATTAACGCTTTGCTTGCTTGTTTATTGTGGCAGCAACAAATTTTGTTCCTGTGCAAACAGCCGTACATACATACATACATATGAAATGCGTATTGTAGCGGTACTGTACTAAGGGAGGTGATTTCAATAGCCTTCAGCTGACTATAAATGAAATTTGTAGCGCATTACTTGGAAACACTTTGCTGGCTAACTTTGTGAGCATCCTTGTTATTTTGTAGTAAAATAAAAAATCTTTGAAGCAAGACAATCAATTTGTAGCTCAGGGTGAGAAAAATTTACCCAAATAGTGAAACCTGCAAATCTTTTTTGCATTTTTCGGTCAAATGATTTTATGGCCATATTAAGTTTGCAATTTTTTTCCTGGGCGTTTTCAGAATAAGTGGAAAAGGGTTAAAATTCATTTCGGTGCGAAATATGTTGTTTGCGTATATATGTATCTATAATAAAATTTCGCGAGGACTAATTATGTAAAGTATTTTAACCCATTAACCTTCTAACGAAATTATCGTTTTGACGCCTTTTTTGGAAAATGTGCATAATATGGCATTTGGGAGGTCGCTTGAGGGTTAAAATATTCTAAAAATTATTCTTATATGTATTCCTGAAATTCATTCGTTTTTATACCAATTATAATTTCTTGAAAATTTAAAATTAATTTTTTTTGATATTCATTTCATTTTGAGAATAATTTTTCCTTATATCGTTTACTGTTGTCATAAATAGTTTTCTTGTAATTTTTTTTATAATATGTATCTCAATTTTTTATTAAATTTGGTAAATAGTAAATACTCTAAGCATTTGTTTTTGTTTTGCGAGTAAAATCTATAATTTTAACCTAAATTTGTCTTTTTTTATAAATTTAAAAGTTTCACCACTATTTTGTATACAAATTTTTTATTTAAATTAACCACTTTATTTAATTTGCTTCATATTAAATTATGTTTCTTTATTTATTTTCTTTTTTTGAGTTCGAAAACAATGTTTATATGCAGTTGTTTGATTTTGAATTTCGTTATATTTTTAATAATGTCTTTAATTGTATGTTTTAATATTTTTTTGGGGGCCACTGTGACTCCGTAGGATCCTGGTCCGGCCAACATCTAAATTAGAAAAAGTTTTTTTTTCTGACAACGTTCGACCCTCGGCAGACAATGGCAAACCTTCGAGTTTAGTTCTGCCTTCAAAAGCTTCTGAAAAAAAAATAAAATTCGATCGCTGCGTAAAAATGTAGGCCCCTCTATTTGTACTATAACATCGAGGCGTTCACCACAAACCGGAGAAGAAGCCCGGCTAAACACTTGGCAAAATTGTAGGCGCCAATATTTATTTACTTAATTTTTTTTCAAATAAATAAATTTTCTTAGAAAATTTCGGTTCGCTTTTTAAATTTGAAAAATGTCGTTAAATTTTAATAAAAAAGTTTTTAAAGTTTTTCGGCATACACTGCCGGCAAAACGTATAGGCACAGCAAATATTTTACAATATATGCAACACTTTTTTTTCTAATATTTTTCGTCAATTTTATATAAAAATATGGTTCATTCTACAACCAAAAATATAAAAATATAATTGCTAAACTTTGAGCAAAACTCACGAAAATTCAGAAAACGTTCATGCAAATTTTCAAATTTTTAATCAGATTTCTGAGAATTTTTTTGGGTACGCAGGTATCACCTTTCCAATGAAAAAAGAATTATCGAAATCGGTTAACGTGGTCCAAAGTTATGCGGTAACATACAAAAAAAAAATTCCGGCGAACTGATCACTTTCTCCTTTTTGTGAAGTCGGTTAAAAAACGGTATATTTTTCTCGACATAGGGGTGAGAACATTAAAATCCCGATTACACTTTTTTGGGATCACCCTAGTGTGCATAAATATGTATGTATTGCTTGAGATTTTTAAATTGCATCTATAAGTAGGCTTTTCACAATTATGCTGCTTTACGATGCTTTTAAGTTTCGAAAGTGCTGGTGTAACAGCTTTCTAAAGCCTCCATTGAAGCTTCTTAGGAAGCAAGTTGTTGTGGTTTTTCAAGCAGCGACAGCTTCACAACTGACAAAATAGAGACATGCTTTTGCAGCAAAGAAATTTAAGCTCTCTACCTTCGCTCTGATTGGATTGTAGAGAAGGGCTGATAAAAAATGCGCGCGCATACCCAGCACAACAACAAGCACAATAGTTGGCAAGAAAAAGGCGCGACAAATTGACAGTTGAACAACAATGACAGTGTTGAGAGTATTATCAATTCAAAGAGAGTGACAGAGTGGGAATGGAAAGGTGCTTAGGATTCAAGCCATATGCCTTGAGTGTATTGTAGAAAGTAGCGCTATAAAAAGTACTGTAAAGGGTAGCAAACAACTGAAAAGCATAGGCTAGTAAAATCGCACCACGAAATTTTGGCTGCGGCGAGATGTAATCACCTAATTATAGGCAACAAAAAAGCTTAAACCTGAGAGAGAGAGATATAAAAAGGTGCTTACATAAAAGCACCACTCAGCGCCCTAGGAGAGTTACTGCCAGGAATAGAGAGAGAGTAAGAGCGCGCGCGTTTGACATTTAGCTGGAAAAAGTATAGCCGTACGTTTGACAGTTGCGCGTCAAGACGTTTGACATTTTCATTTACTCCCACACTCTCACAGACTCACACACACACAACAAATTTTGACAGCTGACAGCCATGCGTGAGAGCACACATATGACAGCCTAGGCGTCGTCTCAGTGCTGCTGCTGGTGTGATTCAAC